CCCCCAAGCGGTTGAGTATTAGTTCAATTTCCATAGAGAGCAAAAATTGGATTTTAAGAAAAACAGAATTCAGTAACATTTTTTTATTTTGAGTATTTCTAGCAGAAAATCTTTTCTAATCGTTTTCAATTGCTTTCTCCAGAAAGTTTTCATAAGAACTAAGGTAGGGCATTTGGTAATTGACTAAGTTTATTGAGTTTCTACTACATTTGAATTATGAAGCCAAACAATAGATTTATAAATTATTAAATCACAAGTGTTATACTAATATAAACTTTATATTTATTTAACAGGCTATGCAATATAAATGCTTTAACATGATTTATTTTATCCAAACTACAATACATATACTATTATATATCAAACAAAAAAGAAACTATCTTTAATATGTTGTATAATAAATATAATGGTGTGATTTAATTACAGTAGTATAAACTATAGAGTAGTAACATGTAATGCATTTTAGTAAAATCTAATAGTTGAAAAATAGAATAAAATTACTTTAGTATTAAAAATGCTTTGCTTTTGTTAATAATAAATTCATTTTTCACATATTTCACATATCAAAAGTATTTTTAATTGATTTGATTAGTTAATAATTATGTTTGGATCTACATCAATTAGCCAATCACACAAATGTTACAACCCATGATTTATTATAAAATTATGAGTTTCTTATACTATACAAATATATACAATTTAGCTGATCATACAAACAATCTACAATATACTTGGCATAGTACCAAACTAAAATTGTCTATATATGGACTTGTGAAGAACTTATATTATACTTACATAATTTTGACCTTAACAACTTATCATCCTCAACTAATAGCGATCACTATATTCTCTTATCTATCTGAATTTTTCTATTTGCTAGATCTAAAACTAGAAATAAATACAAAAACAAACATAAAATCTTTAACTACAAAACAATATTAAAGAAAATTAAAAAACTTTACAGAGTAAGTAAATACTAATATAGCTTAACACAATATTTCAACTATAATTAATACATCTAAAAGTCTAGAAACAACATAGTATAAGATTTATATCTGTATTATAAATGCTGCATTTCAATATATTTCTAATAAAAAATATACTATTAAAAACTTTGTATATACTTTAATATCAAGAGCTATACAATTATGTAAAGATCTAAAAACTATTAGTCATTATTATATACTATATTAATTAATATTTCTCTAATTAAATTCTTTTACTTTTTTTTTTTTGGTATTAAGATGACCCCTTCAGTCAAGTACTTTATTATTGTTTGAATTACTTTTACAACTAGATGATCTATATCTGTTGTACATATATTTCTATATATAGTCTAACTTCTCTATAGTCACACCCCATATAGTCACACCTCTATATAAGCACTCAATATTGTGTGACAGACTTAAACATAGTAAAAAAAACCTCATTATAGTTACAAAAACTTATAATCACTATCACATTAAAATTTAATTTTTTTAAATCCAATTTATTAATAAAAAAACCTTTTAAAGATTCAGATGAATTTTTACAAAAATAATGAGTTCCTCTTCGATAATGAATTTATGGTATCTTCTAATATGAGCACCAATTGGTAGATATTTATAGATCTTAAAAAAAATGAAAACTATATAAAAACACTTGCCCTAAAATATATTCTGTTTTATCTCATAATGCAGTTTGTGAATAAGTTTTTAGCATATTGAGTTAGTATTTGAGAAAAAGACAGACTAGGTATATTAATATTTTTTATATATATTTTTTTATAATTTTTATATTATTACTACAAAGTTTTTTTTTAGATTAAGTATTGAACTTCTGGAAATTATGGCCCAGATGCATTTATTTTTAATCAAAAATGCTAAATCAGAGCTTGACTATATGGATCAAAATCTTCGTCAAGAAGATCTTTTGTTGACCTTTAATCAAATTGCAAATTCTATAGAAGATAATATTGATTTATTCAATGAAGAAGACTTATTTCCTTTGGAAGAACTTATAGAAAAAGATATGGAAGAGGTTTTTAAAAAGGATGATTTAGTTAATAAAAATTTAACAAATTTAGAAGTCAGAAAGTTTATATCTTTATCTTCCAATTTAGAAACTAGTGGATCTTTAAGTGAAGATATTATATATAGAGATAAGGACTTTGGTATAAATAAACTATTGAAGTAATAATATAGAATTAATTTTAAAGATGCAAGTGTGAAAATACATAATAGTTACTAGAAGTTTGTGCAACTTATCACTTGATTGGAAGAGTACTTGCAGATTTAAACAAGTCATTACAGTCAGACCTCTGTATAATGTGGTGATTGTATAGAGGTGTGACTATAAACAAATATCAGATGAGTATCACATGATCTTCAGCCAATCAATGATTAATTGGTAATTCATTAGTCATGATCGTCCTACATCTAAAAGTTTTTTTTGTACTAAGTTAACCACCTTTGTGTCTCTAAGTAAAGTTGTAGAGCTCATTAAAACGAATCAAATCATTGAAATCGGCCTAGTGGGTGCTGAGATATCTTCGAAAAACGTTTCGCCGACTATATAAATTCTTTAAAGAATTTTTCTATAGTTAGCAAAACGTTTTTCGAAGATATCTCAGCATCCACTAGGCCGATTTTGATGATTTAACCACCATTAGAATCGACTTAATGAGCTCTACATCTTTACTTAGAGACTCAAAGGTGGTTAACTTAGTCAAAAAACTTTCAATTAATAAATTAGTGATTATAAA